ATTTGCAGAGGACCAGGTAGTACTTTATTATGATTTATTAAATGTCAGTTTATATGAGTTTTATTGAATATGAGATTAGAGCAGTAGTTGTTATATGACAGTTCAGTATTCTGTGATTTACTCATGAACTGCCCTTCTTTCTTCATCTGCAGATACCCTGCAGAGTTGGGTAGAAAACATGGTATCAGCTAAACCAAAGAAATGGAAATGAGAATAAACATGTTTAAATCTTGGGGCACTGGAGAGCTTTATCATGCTCATCTCCTATCTGGTGTTATTGATCTCTCTTAGTGCAGGAATCAGGCTCTGAATATGACCTACAAAAGTGGCAAAGATTTTAAACTTTATTATACCAGCTTGGAATTCAGCCTTCATTGGAATGGAAAGGGCAACTGTTTGGGAGATATGTGTGCATCAAGGCAATTTATTCATAAATGGGAGAGGAAGAGAGTGGTAGTAGCAGCCATAGAGGGCAGGTGGAAAAGAAAACACAACTGGACAGATCAGAAACACAAAGCTGTTCAGTTGGGATACTAAGGCCTTGGGAAGCTGAGGATAATGCCACAGGAATATGTGAGGGATGCTACAATGCTCAGTTCTCACAGATGCCCATAAGAATTTCTAGAACAGAACAAGGGGCTACATTAGTAATTATTGTAATTATATAATTTTTTTTCATTCTATTCTATTGAAATTTAAACATGAAGAACTTGATCCAAAGGCCATGAGAGGCAGCAGGTCTCTAATTTACTTCCACACCTATCCAATTAAGTCAAAACTGAACTCCTGTCTTTAAGGCTTTTGGTGGCCTGCACCCAGGATATCTGAGAGGCCACACTCTGGGATGAAGATCACAGCTGATAACTAAGAATGACTGAACTTTTTTAGGAAGGGTAATCCTGTCTGCCTAGGCAAGAGTTCCTTTGCACAGAACGAGACAAGCCTGTGGAGTACTTCCCTACAAGAAATAAAGATAGTGCAAAACTTTTACTACCTTGCTTAACCACAAGGTATGTTTCTCTGACCTTGGTTTCTTTTACATAAACCCACTACACGTTTGCCTGTGTGTTTATGCATTTGTGTCGAAGTGCAAACCTCTCCCAGAGACAAACTGACAACAGGCATACAGCAGATGTCGGTCATTTGCTTAGCATGTTGCTGGGATCTATGTGTTCTTTGCAATTCTAGAACAGACCAGGACAGAAAGGAGCTCTACCACTCCAAAGAGAAACCAAAGGGAGGTTTTGTCTTTACTTGTCATATCTTATGAAGATAGACCAAGAGAGAGGGGTTATTCAGCCTGGAAAAGAGAAGGCTCTGGGGAGACCTTATAGCACCTCTCAGTACCTGAAAGGGATTAGAAGAAAGTTGGATAGGGACTTTTCACAAGGGCATGTAGTGATAGGGGTAGTGGCTTCAAACTGACTGAGAGCAGATATTAGGATAAGGTATTAGGAAGAAATTCTTCACTGTGAGGGTGGTGAGGCACTGGCACAGGTTGCCCAGTGAAGTGTGGATCTCCCATTCCTGGAAGTGCTCAAGGTCACGTTAGATGGATGTTTGAGCAACCTGGTCTAGTGAAAGGTGTCCCTGTACATGGCAAGGGGGGTTGAAACTAGATGATCTTTAAGGTTCCTTCCAACCTGAACCATTCTATCATTCTGTGATTTTGCTGCTGCTATCTTTGTAATGAGGAATACACAGTAACTGCTTTAACTGGGTTGTTTCCCAGTATTGTTGATATTTAAACTTTCAGCTAAAAAAAAAATCCCAAAACCTCACATTTAAAATCTTATTAAAAAAGAGTTAGGATTGCAAATTCCTGTGCCAGACCCATGGCTCTGCTGCATCCATGGGTCAAAGTTTTGTGCACTATTTCATTAGCCATGGTTTTACTACAGACCTGTACATGCAGAATGTCAGCTTGTGCCTCTGCTTCTCTTCAGCTGCTGCTGATAATGATAAACTGGGAGGTAACTGCTGCTTTGTCTGCTTTGGAAAGATTTTGTAGGCCAGTTGTATCTCCAGTGTTCTTCAGACCACAATTTCAGTACAGAAAAACATTCAGGCCAGAGTGATGGGAGACAATGACAGTCATTTGAAATGAGGTTTGGCAACAAATTTGCTGACAAATGCTTTGGGATAATGCTTGTGGAGAGAAGTATGCTCTCAGAGATGTGACTTGTTAATTCAGTCTGAGGGAAGAAGGTTCAGACCCGTCATTTACTGGAGCCCATTACAGAACTTAATCTGAAGATTTTGACATATTTCCAAGACAAATATGCTACCATGAGTAAGACATGTTCAATAAGGTGTGTGTTCTAGGAAATGAGGACTGTAATTGCCATACTGAAAGAGCTTGTTGTCTATGCAATTTAATAACCTTCTCCTAGCAGTGTCCCTTCTGACGCAACATGATTCAGAGATGAATCATGCCAAGCAAATGGCAAGTGTCTTTATCATCACACAGCAGACTTGACCAAATGGTTACTGCTTATTATTGGCAGACACGGTAGGATTTGAGCCCTACAGCGTAAAACACTAGGAATTACATCTCCTGTAGTGCTTGTGCCTCTTCATTAAACATCATGAGGATGTTTATAGTTTCCTTCTTACTCTGCAAATCACAGCACTGGCCCAAATTTTTCAGCATGAGTTTTCTCTTTGCTTGTAACAATAAGTTAGACTGAAATTCTTTCCAAGTAGCTCTGCTCTGCAAGACAGCTTATGACAGAAACAGAAGTCCAGTACCATTGTCCTTAGCCAGCACTTAACCAAGACACACTTACTTAGCCTTTATAATCTTTCCCTATGAAACAGTTTCCCCAGCCAGGTAAGAATTTCTGTCACCATTTTCTGACCTCTGTCCAACCTCTAATTTTCCCACTTGATACTGAGTGAGCAAAATAAAATTTGCTATCTTGGCTGCAACCCACATCATTAAGGAAAAAAGTTGTGGAATGACAGAAGTACAAAGACAAAGGTCACTTGTTGTGTAGTGTTGCAACAACCAAAAAAATATTCACAAAAATACAGGGTGTGAAAATTAGAAACATTTTTTAAGATTTTAAAACCCGCAAAATACCGAAGAATACGCTACATGTAACATTTTTCTCCGGTAGTAATTCGGAGGCACCATCATAAGATAACTGAGCTTTAAAAAAGCAACCAAGTCATCTTAAAATCAATACACTAGTCTAAGATCAGCAATAGCCAGGTAAAGCATTGCCTTGCACCTCATTTACAATATGAGCCACCGTTCCTTATTTTAATACTTGTTTATGTATCCAGGCTCTCTAAGGTGTCAGCAAAGTTGCAGAGCAGTGCAGTGTTTCATCCATAGGATCTTGCTTAATAATTACGATGTAAGACAGCAAGTGTTTGGGTCAAATCTTCTCAGACACATTTCTAGCTTCGCTCATATCTACAGATGTACTTTGCAATGTCAAAGGTTGTTTGTACTGCACTACTTTAGGGCTCCAAGGAATACTGGAGCTTCTGCCTACCAGCACATTTAATTGCTACAAGAACAGCAGTTCTTGATAACTAATTTTTGTTTGTTTCGTTTAGAGCACCTTTATGTAAGAGGTTGCCTAAGAAGATTTGCTTCTTATACAGTTCTGGTGTTTTAGGTGGTGCTTTTTTCAAGATATACTTCTTACAGATGCCTCCAATTGAGTAACTGGATGACAGGTAGTGTTACAGTCTGGTCTTAAAATCTGTGTGTCCGTTCACTGGTTGTGAAGTGACAGAAAACAAGTGTTGCTAAGATAAGAAATTCTCTAACCTAAGGTATGAGAAATTTTGTTTCCCTACACGTGGGGGATAGTGTACTCTTCTGAACACCCAGAGCTAACAACAAATTGAGAGAAACAGATTGAAGAGAGAAATCCATTGAGAGAAACGGATTTCAGTACATGAACTGGAGTTTGCAAAAACTTCTAGCATCCAAAACTCTTAATCTGAAAAATTTGTAAAAGAATGTATAGCATAGTCAGTGATCTATGACCTAAACTACTTATGCTAAGCATTAGATCAGCATGGTTTGGGTGGATACAGTAATTGTCAAGTGAAGTTTAACAGCACAGCCCATCCCAGAGACCTGTGGTTTGTTTACAAAAGGTCCATGATCTACCCTATCTGGGGCCCACTTGGTGTCCAAGGAAATTTGAGCTCATCCCTTCCACAAATACCAGCTAGGGCAGACCAACCTTAAAGATTGAGAAAATCCTTTTCTAGTGTAGGAAAAATGACTTCAAAAAGTATGTGGTATCAGTGTGAAAATGCTAAATGTTTAGGGATATAGTAAATGGTCAGTTGTCTTTTTTCTTTTTTTTCCTGAAAAAGCCAACGAAAGATAATTTCAGTTTTTCAATCCTCCCCATGACAAAACTCCTTTTGGGCCTTAAAGGAATGTTTGAAAGCATGGCTAAGCGTCCTTGGGGACATCAGCACTGTGAAGATTCCAAATTCCTCTTCCCACCAGGCAACCTACATAAACAGAACACTAATTTATTTATTTTTATCGCTGCTGCGCCCACCCACCCCGGCTCCCCGAGGTGGAAGCCAACAACCTCTCGGGCACACAGTGTGGCTCTTGCGGATGGCCCGGTGCAGGGCTAAGGGTCCCTGTGACTCTGTGAACCAGGCTGAGCTTTGCTGGGTCTGAGGGTTTCCCAGGGCGCTCTCCACCTTTTCCCGCACTCGGGCCCCGCGAGGCCGCGGTCCATGTCCGCTCTCCGTGACCCCACGGCGGTGCCCCTGAGGGCTCGAACAGCCCGAGCAGGAGCGGGCCCCGGCTCTCGCTGGGCTCTGCCCTGCTCTGGAGGAGCGGTAGGCAGCGCCCCAGGGGGAGTAGGAGCACGGGCGGCCCTCGCTGCCTTATTCATCAGCTCAGTTCTGTCCCCTTTCCCCCCCAACCCGCCCCGGAAGCCGCCGCTCGATCTGTCCGGAACCTTTGGAGCCGGAACGCAGTTTGGCGGCGCGGGGGCCGGGCCGGAGCACGGTGCTGGCTGGACCCCGGGGAAGATGGCGGCGGCCGTGGCGGGCCCACGTGGGCGCGGGACGGCGGCGGGCGCGGGCACCGACAGCGGTAACGAGGGCGGGAGGGTCGGAGCGTGGGCCCCTCTCTTCTTCTAAAGCCTCTGTGTCCCCCGCTGTGGGCCGTCGCTGGCCCCGGCGGCCTCTCCTCTCTGCCGCGTCCGAGCCCGCCGGAGGGTCCGAGGCCCTTCATCCCCCCCGCTCCGAACCCTGGGCCGGGGCTTGGAGCCGTCTTCGCCGGGGATGGGAGCTCAGGCCCCGGCACAGCCACGTGCTGAAGCTCCTTCTCAGCCGGGGGTCCCGTGGGTGGCATTCCCGCTGTGCCCGGTGTTGTGCCTGGTCCTGCCCTCTGCTCCTGCCCTTCTCTACTCAGCTAGGGGGTACCGACAGCAGCTGGTTAATTCCCTGGGCCCACCAAAATAACTTTCGCTGCTTCCTTGGGAGCGGGGGGAGCGACTGTGCAGAACTGCAAAAGTTCCGTGTCTGTGCCAGACCGGGATCTGCTTCTATTCCGAAGTAAACCCGTGGGACACGCAAGGTAGTGATTCACCAGGAGAGCGCAAAGACTCGTACTCCATCCTTTACGCACAGTTCTGCGCTCGTTCTTGCCTCCTTGTGAGTTGAGAGGGTGTACCTAACTAGTTGTGATCGCTTTTTAATTATATCTTGTAATTAGATTACTTTTTTTTCTTTATTCTGGGAGGAATCAAGGTTGTGGCCGTTTGGAGCTGTAGCTCACACTGGTTCTGTTTGCTTTGAGGGTCAAAACTGAACCCAGGGGAAAGCTTTGTGTGAGAGCTTCTTTCAGAGCTCGTTTTGGAATGTTTTCTATATTTAACTGTGCGTCTACACCTTCATCACTGAGCAAGTTTAGAAGAGTAAAGTATGGAAATGTGCATTTCCCACACACACAATTAAGACTTTTTACATTAAACCTGTACCAGGCTTTAAGGTTTGCAGTTCAAAACAGAGCCTCAGGTCCTACTTCTGATAGAGTTAATCTAGTCTAAATTACTTTGAAATACCTCTGCTTTATCTCATGCTGTTGTCTGATACTCTGACATGTAAAAGAGTAAGTTAAGGCTGGTCCTTGAAGCCTTGTTAATCTCTCTGTAATTGTTGAAAGCAAAATGTTGGTATTATCCAGCACTATCCTCCTGTTTTACTGGCAGAAAATATTATGTAAAGGAAATTAATACATAATTCTGCAATTTTCCTTTTTATAAGTCTGATCTGTTATTTATGGCTAACTGTCAAGCAACTGGGGAATTCACCTTTGGACTTTTGTTACTAGTTAGCTTTTGTATCTATAAAAAAGTCATAAGTGGGGGTTGATTCATTGTTTAAAACCTAGATAGTGTTATCCTAGCATGGACAAGGCCTAGGGATGAAAAGTTGACATTGTTTTACCTGTAGGAACCAGGCTGTGGTGATGCACCAGCTTCTTCATATGCAATGGTTTGAATTTATTTTTTTTTTAATCTGGAACTCAGGATATGGAAACATACTGATATCTAAAAGGATATAAAAGGATGCCTTTAAGTAGTTAGTGAATGTGTTGAACATATCTGCAGCTTCTAAATTTCCACTTTATAGTAAGGACTGTTAAAAAAAAAACAAACCCATTATTTATCTCAGGTGGAGTGTGACACAACACTGTGTGCACCTTGATGCTAATAAAAGTCATCCTGACCTAGATCATGACTAAGTACTCAGTAATTATTTCTCTTCCACATTTGTTTTGTAAACATATAATTTTACTCCTGTCTCTGATGGTAACTAAATGCTCTCCAAGCCTCTAAATGTGCCTGGGCATTAGAGGTTTTGTTTTAAATTGATTAACGCCACTGTTTTGCTGCTATGTCAGGCTATATTTTTCTGGTTTAAAAAGGCACATGGAGAAGGCAGAATAATGAATAAGTCTGGCAACAGAGTGTATGTTTATGTTTGCTAAGTAATTAAAAAGAGTGTTGATTAATGAGGAATATCATTAATAACTGTCTGCATGGCTTTATAGAAAACAGATCTAGTGAAGCAGTCCTGACTTCGTTCTCTTAATGATTTGATTGATAAAGGTAGTTCATGGCATATAGCAGTGCTTACCAAGTAAAGCACTTGGCTCAGTAGTACTGTGAGTACAGTAGCACTAATAGTAGTAGTAGTAGTACTGTTTTTCAAGTAGTGTGAGTGCTAGATGGATGAAAGTGAGTCAACTGGTGGGGAATTAGCCCCTTGCTAGTGGGAGTGGGCAGCGTCAGAAACTAGCCTCCTTCTGTCCAGCACTTGATTTGTGGCCTTGAAAGTTGTATATAAAGAAATTAATTTAAAATTTCACGACACAAATATTAGTGGAATAGCAGTTGATAGTAGCAGGAAATATGTATGCTGTGCTCTTCATTATGTGATAAAGTGGGTCCACTGAAATAACCAAACAAATTTTAGCCCTCCCTAAACTTGCAGCCCATTTAATTCTAGTTAATCTGCACCATTAAAGACTTCAATTTTTGCAATTTGACACACTGAACAGACAAATGAGGGAAATGGCAGATTATTCATGTGTTTGATGTGCCATCTAGTTGGCTGTTCTGTGCTCTCTTGATGTTGCTTGATTACTAACTTCAATATTGTCACTTCAGCTCCTTTAGTTTTGTTTTGAAGGGCTCATAGGGCAAGGAAACTTGGGGGTGTTTTATTTCTGTATTAAGAACTTGAACAGTTACTTATGCCAGCAGACCTTAGTGCCTCTGGTTTCTTTTGAGTACCTGATGACTCTCTTGATTCTGCATTTCACAAAACAATCTCCCCTGTGTTCATTGTACTTTGGTAATTGTATTTTTGATGGCATTGTTTTCCCTGGGCAGATTTTTCTTTCACATAAGGAATGCCCTCCCAGCTTCAGTTTAATCCCTGTGGCTGTTTGCACTCAAACACCAGATGTCACTGTTGCAGTTTGTATGTGTGTGTGTACATACACATGTATACATACAGATATGTATGTATATGCATTTATAAGTTATAATTTCTGAACTGGGAAATATAGGGGGTTTTTTTCCCCCACAATTCCAGCCCTAAACATAAAAATATTCATATTCTAACAAAAAATATCCAAGGCTGCCTTTTCCCTTTTAGCCATCCACTTCAATCACTTTAAATCATTACTGAGATAAGCAAGCACTTGCATTGCATAGTTTCTAGTAAATTCATTATGATGGTGTTTGCCTGCTTGAGGAAGTAATTGTAACACTACATGTGCAGCAGTACGTGGCCCTGGACTCAGATAACATTTACATATGGAGCAAATTGCACCAGTGATGGATCCTTACCAGGAAAAGAACTCCTGATAATTATTTTTTTTTTTGATCCCTAGATTCTGAGTTAAGCTCAGAACTTCCAGAAGACAGCTACTCTTCAGGAGATGAAGCCCTGGATGGTGATGATGAAGATGAAACAGCAGCCCCTGGCAATGTGGTTGAAGAGGCAACAACCTCCAAAGATGGCCCAAGTTCAGGCTGGGCAGATGCCATGGCAAAAGTGCTCAACAAAAAAATTCCACAGAATAAGTCCACCATCTTGTCCAAGAATAAAAGCTTGGAGAAGGAGAGAGAAAAGGAAAAACAAGAAAGGCTGGAAAAGAGGATGAAGGTGAGAAAAAGATGCAGTATTTCCTATGTAGTCATAGTCAGGTGGGCTACTACATGCAAGATAGTCTCAGCAGAGATTTGGGAGAGTGCTCTGAGACTATCTCAGTTTTGGAATCTCTCTTCCACAGTGATGTCAAGTAACTTCAATTTTTTTACTTTTCCAGTCATGCTGTGTAGGGCTTTTTTCCCTTACTGCATTTTCTGGGTCATCAGGCAGGCTGATCTTTGGCAGCAGGACTGTTCCAGTCTGTCGGCTTAAGGTGTTTTTGTTATTGAGAGGGTGAAAGCAGCTACTTTAAGCTTGGTTTTCTAATTCCGTTGTTAGTTTGGAGTAAAATTCACATGGTTGGAATTAAAAGTCAAAATAGTTCTGTATCACAAAAGGTGAGAGGGAGAAAAAGAAGAAAACTTCCTTCATTTAAATTATGCCACAACGTCCGAAATCAAGGCCTCTAGGTTGAGACTGCAGTAACTATTGATGCTGTTGTGAATACTTGTTTGCTCTCCTCAATGATTTTCTTGACTGGAAACTACTGTTTCTACTACTGTAGAAAACTGTGTCTGTTCCCTAAATAGCTTCTGGTTCCGAACCTGTTATGAAGAGAGCAAATTTATGTTGGCAAGTAAGTCTTTTGTTTGTGTCTTTAGTGGAACTTTTAATTCCAGGCTGTGATTGATTTACCTTCAGGCTACAAATACATTAATAGTACTAATGTCTCATCTTACCCGTTCTGTTTCAGTGGGATAGCCAGGTTAGTCACCTGACAGTTTGGGACATGCTGTGGTTGGGCCACAGCTTGCCTTTTAAATGCAGAGATGCTTCAGTACAGCATCTGCGTGGTTCTGGTTGTCCTAAATACCTGTTCTCATCCAGTAAATATGTGGGAATACTGCAGAACAGAGGTGGGCTACAGGTCCCCAAACTGACTTGTTTACCTTAGGAAAACTTGAAAGCACTCTGCCTTCCACTGATTGCTTGCTGATGAAAGGTAGGATAGGGCAGTTCTTTTGATCAAAGGCCAAAACATGGTCATAAACTCAGAAATTCATAGTGGTTTGCCTGGAATTATAAAGATAAGGACTCTGAAATTCCACTAAAAACTTCTTGCATAAAACAGATTTAATGGAACATCACTAGGCCTAGAACACTATTAAATTGTTCAAAGGGGAAGAAAAAATTTCACTACCTTTCTCCTGAAGCAGAGGTTGTGAAATACAGTGGTCTCCTATTTTAGCAGAAACAAAGCTGGTGATATTGTGGCCCCTGGTAATGGAAAATGCATCAGTTTGGTTTTGAAACAGAGACTCAAAAGAAAAAGACAAAAATCAGTATTGTACACGAGTTGTTGTCTGGTGGACACTTGGTGCTCTTCCTGGTGCTTGAGTTCTGCCTGTTGGAGTCTTTGATGTGCCTCACTGTTGGTCACAGAGCTGTACTGGGATTAATTCTGTGGGGGAAGTCAAATTCCCGAGGCTCAAAGTGTGACGTGCCTGTCTTGGTAGACACAGGATTTTATTATGTATGAATTTCTCTGTGATCAGCTTGTGAGTCTTGGAGTTGAAAGCGGTCTTTGAATAATTTCCTTGCTCGTGGCAGTTAGTGTGAAAGCATTTGTATTCTAGACTTTTGTCACTGAAAGCAGGTGATTCTTTGAGATTTGACTGTGGGCCCTGGTGTGTCAACGCAAGAGACTTACCTCAGACCTGTTGTCCAGCCCCATATTGGAGCCCCCCTTACCCTCAAACCAAACTGAACTTTGCAGATTTTATTTTTTTCTTCCTGCTACATACTCTATCAGTGTATGCTGCATTCTCATAACAATATTTATAATGCAGCTCGATAAAAAGCGGGAATGGGAAATGATGTGCCGAGTGAAGCCAGATGTTGTCAAAGACCGAGAGAAAGAAAGAAATCTTCAGAGAATTGCCACAAGGTAAGAGTTTTTCTGAATGCTTTCCTTAAATATATGTATATCAAAAAGAGGAGGAAAAGGGGAAGAAAAGGCTTATGCAGGTAATCTGTTTCCAATCAGTTTGAACTCTTAAGAAGTGACTTCCAGGAGCCGAGAGATTTATATACAGGTCTGCATTGTACAGTATCAAGTTCAGCAAAAGATTTCAGAAGCTTTATGAAAGAGTGAAAATTTAGATGGGAATCTAATATTTGCTTAACAGGAGTGCTTTGTTGAATCCCATCATTTTGTTAATGCCTTAAAAATGCAGAACAGTTGTTTCTACTGTTCTGTTTTTTTGCTTCTCTGCAGAGGATTCACCAGAGACTGATGGCTGTAAAGTTCAGTCTGTTCAGTGTTGCAGTAGTTTGGTGTCACAGAACTAGCTGAACACCTTAATGGGCTGCCTGTGTCTGCCTCCTTAATCATTCCTCTGCCTTGTCCCCTTACTTCAGCTGCCCTTGAGATCTTGCCTGAAGAATTTAATATCTGGTTGTAGGACGAGAAATGTGCTTCTGAGGATGAAACATGCTCATGTACTGATTTCAGTACTATGCTTACTTCAGGGTCTGAATAGTTATGTGTGGATTTGTTTGTTACTGGTTCCTAGCAATAACTGTAAAGGAGGAGTGAACATTATAGCAAATGTTACTTCTTAACCAAGTTGAGGTTCCCACTAACCATTCTGGGGAGCTAAAAGCTGTCCAGCATCTGCACCAATTAGTTGCTTTGGTAGGGGGTTCATTTCTGTAAAAGGAGCTTGAGTTAAAAAATTTATTCTGTTGTTTTTTCCCCTATCCCAGAGGTGTTGTACAATTATTTAATGCTGTCAGGGCGCACCAAAAGAACATTGATGAGAAGATGAAGAAAGCTGGGAGCTCTGACAGGCGGCGTGCTAAACTGCTGTCTTCTGTTTCAAAGAAAGATTTCATCAATGTTTTAAGAAACATGGAGGGTGCTAAAGGAGGCAAGAATGATGGAAAGGCCACAAAATGTAAAGAGGTAGGCTTCATCTGTGAGAAGAAAATGCATTCAAGATACCTTCTCAGTATAGTTACTGTCTGTTAATATGCCTGCTCTTCATAACAGCTGTGATCCAAATGGCTGGGGTGTTTTGAGACTTCTTAGCAAGGGAAGAAGTAGCTCTTAGCCTGTTTTCTCTTTATTTTGAGTATCAAAATACAAAGTGCTGTATGTTAAAAAAAAATATAGGATTTTTTTTCTTGGGTTTTGCATCAAGCATGGAACAAACAGCTAGATTTTAGTGGGTCGTGACATTTGGAATTTGGCCAATAATAGCTCCTTAAAAATTGTTAAAGACATGGAGGCTCTTCACCTTACACAGTGTATTAGACTGTACTACTTGTGTGTACCCAGAGTTTAGTCATGTCAAACTCACTTCCTTTGGATGATTGTGGTATCCGGAACTGAAGGGATTTGCTGTACAAAGTGAATACCACAACAGAAAGAAATAGAGACATATTAAACATTATATGTAGGCTCTTCTTTCCCTGATTCTGTATGTGTATTTAGGCTGATGTGGCTTCGTTGCTGTTACGATGTTTTGGCAAGAAATACACTCCACTTTTTCTAACGTGTTTGAGGTGCGGTGTAGTTAGACTTGTCCAACTCTTCAGTGATTCTTTCAGCTCACCAAGTAGCTCAGGGTTGAAAACAAGTTCCTCAGACGTACTCTCTCTCGTATTTCAGAAGCTGCACGTTTTTGAAGCGTATTTGTGTTCAGGTTTGAACTCTGTGCTCAGTAGTGGGTGGAATACTGCTGTTGGCTCAGACTCACAGCAGTTAACTAAGTGCTTTTCTGTGCCAGGAAGAAATACTTTAATCAGTTGGGAGACAACAGTTTGTCATATGTTTTTTGTTTGTGTGCACTTGGGGAACATGCTGAAACACTGCCTAGCATGAAGTGCTCATACAATTTTCATGCAAGTGTAATATTAAAGTATTTTTTAAATTCTTCAGATAATGAGAACAATTTAGCTTGGTGCTGACACTTTATTTCTCCTTAAATAATTCCAGCTTGCTTGTTTGGTTGGGGGGCGTGCATGTGTGTGGTTCTCTTTTTTTTGTTTGGGTTTTTTTTTTCCTCCCCTGGAATAGCAGAATATCAGAACAATAGCAGTGCCAACTAGTGTTGTAGTCAGCATTGAATCAATAGCTGAGCAAGAAATAGGTCCTTTGTTTTCTTTTGTGTCAGGTTGTAGCAGGACAATTTTCTAATTGGTAGGTCAGAAAACGTAGATTGCAAATGTTTCTATACTACAAAAAAAAAAAAGTCTTGTTTTGGCAGCATCAGTAAGAGCATATTTCCATTCAAGTGCTCTGGAGATGCTTTAGAGGCTGGCTGGTTAGTGTTGGGTTTGACTGTTAGTGTAGGTGCTGCCTTCACATTGCTTGTGAACAAAAACTGGGCAGGGATCGAGGTTTTTGGTTGGGTTTTTTAAATAGTGTGTCTGCCTAGATAGACCACCCCTCTTCCTCTCTTCCTTGCTGCCTCTGCTTCAGTGACTCTCCATTCAATCTCTTCAATAACTCCTTTTCAAGCTGTTTTTAATCTTCCTTATTTTCTCTTGAGAACATATCTTACTCATTTAGCAGGCTCCCATCCTGGTAGTTAATGCTTGAGCTTGAGGCCAAAATCTGATCTGCAGTCTTCTCTTCAGAATTACAGAGACATTTAGCCACTGAACAGTACTGTTGGCCTCCACTGTCGTAGCTCTGCTTCTTGGTCTTTGGGGGTTTATCAGAGGGTAGTAAGCAGGGATGAGGCTTTTTGGTAGTGAATTCCTTGCAACAGGAGTTTGGTAGTTGTTTATGCCATCTGAAAGCTTTTGTTTGTTTGTTTGTTTTGTGGGTTTGTTCTTTCTAGCAGCCTGCTTTCTTTTTACCATTTGAGAGTATAGCATGTATTTAATTTTTAGAAAAGAGGGGTGAAATGTATTTATTTATCTCAACAAAAACAATGGAAGAGATGCCAATCCCAAACTCCAGGCATTCTGCCATCAATTAAAATGCAGTCCAGAACAATAAAAACACAACCCCACCCACATGAAACAAGCAGTCAGCAGGAAAAATAGCAGAATAAAGTTTCACCAGTGAAAGCAAACCCTTCTTGACTCAAGCCCTGTGCTGTGACAGGAGACTTGACTGTATTTGTGGGAATGGGCTAATGCTTCTTCTTGCTCTGCAGTACTTTTTAAATGCAGAATTTGCTGCATATTTTTGAAAGTTTGGTGGTTTCTTCCAGATGTCAGGGATTGTTGAAGAAACCCCTTTTAAAGCTCTGTTTTGACTGACTTCTTAGTCAAGTATATTTATGTGTGAGAAAAAGAAGTTGAATGCTCTGTAAAGGCCCATCTGCAGCAGAATTTGGTTCTCTACTTCCATCAGCTTCAGACATTGATGGGAAGGGCAGGTAACCTGTGCCCACGAGAACGTCGTTTATAGTCTTGTATACTTTTAGTCATTGGCCTAATTATTACTTAGCGTACACCGACCAATGTAACTGCAAAGAAAAGACTTCAAGGCTGTGAAAGTTTTCTTGTGCTCGTCTTGTGAAACTGTAGCCCTTCTTGGGGTTTCGTGTGCCCAGATGGGAGTAATTACTTTTCTGAGCTGGAGCCAAAAGCTTTGCCTTTCATATCATTAGCTGTTTATCAAGGTATTTCTTAATCCTTGCTGAGCCAGCTGACTTGTGTAATATTTTATCCTGGTTTTTTTTCCAAGGGACGGTGCACGATGCTTGCCTCTGGGTAAGATCATCTAATATTCCTCCCCTCACCACCTTGTCTGAAGTCTTGCAATGTGGGAGAAACATATAATAATTTTCTTTTTTAAAAAAAATCCTACGTGTTTGTTGTTTGGGTGGGTTTTTTTTTTAAGTTTTGGGGTGGGTTTTTTTGGGAAGCATTTATTGGCAGATATGAAAGCTTTCAATTGTTCAACACAATCCTTACAGACCAGTTTTTCATTTCAGTACGTGTTGGTCGTATCTTGCAGCTTCCCACCTGTAAGACATTGTAAGAAATGTTATTTAACTACAGGTTTAGAAAAGGTACCTATCAGAGATGCTGTTTTTCTAGCCCTGAAGGCTGAGGTCATCTTTACGTCTATGGAAGAAATACAAAAGTAGGTAGTGGCAGTAAAGGATTCCTTGCAGGAATCTTTTGTTTTCTTTAGGTCGTGAAGAAATTTCTGGGTGCTCTGAGGAAGTACCTTTGCTTCCAGGGTTGAATGAAATTTCTGATCTCTTACAGTTGTGCAGACACGTTGGCTGATGTAGTGAATTACAAGAGGTTTTGAAATCTTAATTGTAAGGAAACAAAGAAGTTAGCATTCTCAGAGCAGCTTCACCTTTTCTCCCTTACTGCGTGTCAGGACAACAGGGTTGTTCAGTACCAGATTTCATCTTGACTTTGTGCTTGTCATTTGTGCTACTCCCTGTAAAGCATTACTGTGTGGTAAAACATTTTTCTAGTGACATATAAACAACTGGCATGAACGTTACAGATACTCTTTATGACAAGCATAACCTGAACTCATGAACCTTTCATTTTCAATTAGGCCTTTGTAGCATGATTTTGCTTCAACGTGTAAGTTTTCTTGCACCAGATCTGTGACAGAGCATTTCAATGGTGGAAGTAAGAGCAGGATTTCCTGGCCTACTTCAGTAACCATGATCCAAATTCTGTAAGGTAATTTTTCTGTAAGTGTGCTGGCTACATGACCTGAAGGTACAATTTGCTTCCTGTGTTGTGATGACATCTGGAAAAAATTGGTTATTGGTCTCAAAATAGTACCTATTCTAAAATAATTTATTGATAGGAAGGAAGATGAGTGGAGAAGAATACAAGTGCTATTTCATATCAGCTATTGCTCATATGGGATTTGAAATAAAGTGCTTTTCCAGAAAAGTTCCTTCTGCCTGAAGCATATTTTATAAATGCTCCTAGTGGTTGGTAAGTAATTTTTAAGCACAGTGATTAGAGTCAGGTTTACTATAGATTTTTCTTTTGTTCATAAGACTAATTTTAAGCAGTAGTTTAAAGATTGTTCAAGGGCAGGAGGAGTACTACACTTGACTTTGACTGCTTTTCTTACTGGGATACAAGAAGTGGCATTGGAGCTTTCATTTTTCAAGTTAAATGAGGATATAAAATGTGCTTTTCAGCTTAAATGTTAGGTCTGTGTAAAAACTGTGAGAGTGCCTTCTTTTTCTTGCAGCTGCGTGAGTACTGGCCATCAGCGTGTTCTGCTTTTTCCCACTGTTTCCACAGTATAGAAATGGGGAGGAAGGGCAGAAAATAATACTATTTTCATCCATATATCTGTTTGAAGTTACAATAGTCTGAACAATTGCTTTAACTAGCTGTAGGAAATAGTTTGTTTCTGAAGTATGGATAAAGGCAGAGATGATTTCTAGAAATTTGATAAGGTATATCAACACCTTTTTTAATCTTAAAAGGAAACTTTTTTTCCTTAGGTGATAATGGCATTGCAGAGTAGCAGAAGTTTATTATTACAAATGTTGTGTGCTGGTTTTACAGAACAAATTGAAGGAGTAACCAGGCATGCATGTATTCCAGCAGATTTGAGGGGGCAGCCAAGTATTAATTTAGTTCAGCTGCAGCCATAATAGATGTGTTCTCCCAGTTTTAATAGATGTTTTCCCATCACATGCACAGAAACTTTTAATTTGGATTCCTCTGGATACTGCATTTTTACCTGTTTTTCCCAAATGTATGTACATACTCTTGAAAGTCACCTCTTGTATGTTTGGAGCTGATGCTTTTAACTTAGTTTCTTGGTTTTGTACCAGAAGGCTGCTGACTACCTAACTGCTGTATGCTGCTTTTTATTCGTGGAGACAAATGCAGTGTAGCCTGCCACCAGTTTGCTATATCCTATAGTCCTTATGCTCTTCAAGGTAAAGAGTTGTTTTGAAGTATTAGAAGTTGTTGGATGGTGATGTTTTTACTTTTTTA